GCAATTTACATATTAAAAATTTTTATTGTTTCTGGGCTAGTTAATGTTTTCTGAGCATGTTTGAGATACGGAGCTAAAGTTATCTGAAATCGGAAATTTTTCCAAAATTTTGAAATCGGAAATCGGAAGGAGGGGGTCATATATCTTTTTCCTTGTATATCATATGTACTTATAAAATTCCGGAAACGTAGATATTTTCCGGAAATATACTATGATTCAAGAAGCATATAAGTATATTTTTCAGGAAATATATTAAAATTCAGAAACATTCATATGTATTTTCGCAAATATTATAATATTCCGGAAACATATTCTTCAGGAAATAAAAGAATATCTGAACAAATATAATTCTCGAATTACAATAAAATTTGCGAAACAATCATTTTCAGGAATATTCTAAAATTCCGAAGACAGATTACCTACCATCACTCTCTACAGGAAATCTTTTTGTTGGAACAATAACATTAGAGAAGCACTTAGCTAATGCCTTTATTCTTTTAAAAAAATTATCTCCAATTTTCTTGTCAACAGCAAAACAATACCAATTTTGGGGATGATAATTTGTGGCAAATTCTGCTTCCAAAAATCTATAACTCTTTAATGATTTTAATTAATTTTTTAAAAATTTTTAAAAATTACTTCATAAACAATTCTAGCATAAGCCAATGGATATTTCTCTTCTTCAGTGGATAAAGGCTTTTCCAAGAAATAATTTCTTTCTTTAATTGATCTACAATCCATTAATAAATTTTCTGGATCTTTATATGTTAATCTAGATTTTGCTTCGAGTTTTATATAATCCTCTTCCCCTTTAATTATTGTTTTGCAGTCTATACGTTCCTAAAAATTTTTCTTCTTTAAAAAATTTATCAATAATTAGAGATCGGACAAACGGCAAAATCAAATATCAAATCAAGTAATTGATATTTGAAAATATTTGAAAAAAATTGATCAAAAGTATCAAATATTTGATCAAATATCAAATTTCTTTTAAATTTTGGAATTACATATGAATTTCATTATTAATGGAATAATTAACATAATAATGACTAAATAACATTTATGAATCAATATTTGTAATGAATTAATAGATTAAGAAAGATAACTTGGGATTAACAGGGATTAAGGTGATTTGAGATAACATGAAATTTAGGGATTAAGTATTTTCAAATCGTGGGCCTGAAAGTATATTGGTGGTTAAAGTGAGAGATTAATTCCCAGATATCACTTTTCTCAGATATTGATCACCATATATCACGCTTAATCACATCCGATATCCATCCAAATCCACAGATATCCCTCCAAGCCCCAGATATCACTATTAATCATCAGATATTATCCTTATATAAGCTATTATTCTCAAAGATATCTCTCTAAATCACCCTATATCCGCTCTGATCAAATGAAATCCCTTCAAATTACCCTATATCCCTTTTAATCCCCCGATACTATCCTAATCCTCATATATCCCTTTTAATTCACATATATCTCTCTCAATCCCCTGATATCCCTTCTAATCCCCAAAATCTCTCAAAATCTCTCGATATCCATCCAAATCCTCATATATCCCTTTTAATTCTCATATATCCCTCTCAATCCTCTGATATCCCTTCTAATCCACAAAATCTATCAAAATCCTTCGATATCCTCCATATACCTCTATATTCACAAGATACAAAGAAGAAATTTTTTAATTTTTAAGACGCTATAGGAGAGGAACTTAAGCGCCATTTTTTAACCAAAAATTGAATTTTTGGGAAAATCAAATAATTTTCAAATTATTTGATGTTTAATCAAATATTTGATTTTCCGACGTCAAATATTTGTTTGGTCCGATCTCTATTTATAAGCAACTTTGTTATGTCCAATTTCATTTTTGATTGAATTCCAAATTTTTTCATTAATTTTTTCCAAATCTCCGTTTTTTAAATTATTTTTCGATTCGTTTTCCTTCTTTGTTTCAGTTATAACAATTTGAGGAAGAAGCACTTGTAATGGAGAAGTAGGGAAAATCATGTAAATAATCGCTACAATAGATGCCGCTATTAAGAAGGCAATTAAAAAACAGTGTAAAAAAGTCTTCATTGAATAATATTTTGGATTGAATTTGATTTGAAATTTTACTTATTTTATTTATTAAAATAAAAATTTTTGACAAGTGATGACCCTGTTAGCTTCATTTCTTTATCATTTGACAAGCAGACGATAAAATACACATAAACTTTTTTTAGAAAAGTTTGGTTTAGAATTAAATAAAGGAAACAGTGTGATTAATATTTATAATACAAAAAATATTTATGGAAACAAATTATATTCACATAAAAATTTTTTTAGATAATGTCTCGAAACAAATATTTTTAGTGAACACGGAAACCATAATTTTAACTTTCAATAATATCACAATTAAATTTATCAATATCCACTTTGCCTGTTTTTATCATTTCTTTGTGAAAACGAGTCTGAAATTTATAAAATAAAATCTTAATTATTTTGATAGTTGCCTGAGGCCAATTTTGATAGGATTTACTATTCAATCTTTCCAATCCCTTATCTACCAAAGTTCTACTTCTCATCTCTTCATGCCAACATAGAATGGCCCCAAAATCAAAATCAGTTTGAATTTTATTTGCAAAAAGAAAATTATTATCTCGCAAATTGCCTGACTTTATAAAGATATTAATTATAATGGGTCCGAAATGTTAATAAAAAATTTTTGCAGATATACCGCTCCATGTACATAAAAATATTATTAAATTACTATATCCTCCAGGCCAAAAATGCAAATATTATGACGCATATATCCGCTATGGCATGTCCGGTTTTCATCATCCCAAATAGAAAATCTAAATAAAAATTTTAATCTCATTTTTATTCAAATCTTGTTAATTTCATTAATTTTAATCTCATCTTATATCGGTAGGGATAAGGAACATACCGTATTTACTCGATTAATTGCCCTCTCTCGAATAATTCCAGCTGCTACGGATAAGTTGAAACAATAATCTTCCTACCTCAAATACTACACGTTCAAATTCAAAACTCGAATATTTCTACTTCTTTAATAATTCCCAAAGCCACGGATGGGTTGAAAAAATAATTCCACAAGGAATTAATCGAGTAATGACGGTATTTTTTTATTTCCAAAATAAGTTCCAGAGAAGAAATAAAATCGTCCAGAATACATATAACTAACCTATTAACATATGGTGTAAAAATATGATTATCAACGCATTTATGTGTAAAAGAATTGGGTGCTTTTAACTCATCTGTTGCAATTAATGTTTGGAAAAAAAATTCATCACAGCCATATTCCCCGCTTAATTTTATTATTTTACTTAAATTAAGTGTTAAATACCAGTTATTTAAATGATGAAGAAATTGAGTTAAATTAAGTTTTTGTACAATAAAATCAACAAAATCGCGTGCCAAACTAGCTTGTAGATATCCTTTGGTTATTTTTAAAGATAAAGGTTTTCCTTTTGTATCAACTTGATTATTTAGTTTTTCTTTAAAATATAAATTATTATAAAACTTATTTTTTAAATTCCAACCATCTCTATATAATTTTAAATCGTTAAAAGTCCAATTAAATTTCTTGTAAAGAGCTTGAATAAGCTCCTTTTTATCTAGACCATATTCAACATCATTAGCCCCACCCATCCATTTTAATATTCGAATAACTTCTTCATTTGTTTTTATCTGTATATCATCATTTTGAAGGGTAAAAACATATTCCCATTTGTATTTACTTTTAGATAATTCCTCCAAACATGACATAAATGCATTTCCCATATGAACGCCTTAATACATAATTTAGTCCGGAACAGACCTGGGCGAAACTCAAAATTTTTTTCTGACGAAACGAAACGAAACAAAATTTTTTAAAAATCGTTTCGTTAACGAAACGAAACGAAACAACCAAAATCTTACGAAACGAAACGAAACAAATTTAAAAGTGTTTCGTAACGAAACGAGACGAAACAGTAAAAATCATACGAAACATACGAAACAACGAAACGAAACGAAACGTTTCGCCCACGTCTGGTCCGGAAGCATATAAATTTATCCGAGAATATTATGAAATTCCGGAGGTATGTGTATTTTATAGAATTATATGTATTATTCCGGAAACAATAATAATTTTCCGGAAATATTATATTATTCAGGAAACATTAATAATTTTCCGGAAATATTATATTATTCCGGAAACATTAATAATTTTCCGGGAATATTATATTATTCCGGAAACATTAATAATTTTCCGGAAATATTATATTATTCCTAAAACATTATTAATTTTCCGGAAATATTATTTATTCCGTAAACATTAATAATTTTCCGGAAATATTATATTATTCCGGAAACATTAATAATTTTCCGGAAATATTATATTATTCCGGAAACATTAATAATTTTCCGGAAATATTATATTATTCCGGAAACATTAATAATTTTCCGGAAATATTATATTATTCCGGAAACATTAATAATTTTCCGGAAATATTATATTATTCCGGAAACATTAATAATTTTCCGGAAATATTATATTATTCCTGAAACATTATTAATTTTCCGGAAATATTATTTATTCCGTAAACATTAATAATTTTCCGGAAATATTATATTATTCCGGAAACATTTCCGGATATATTATATTATTCCGGAAATATTAATAATTTTCCGGATTCTACTATTATTATTAACTATCAATTTTCAACTATTAACAATGATTCGACTATTAACTAAGATTTTCAACTTCCAACTATTAACTATTAATATCTATGTCCCACTATTAATATTAACTATCAATTTTCAACTATTAACTAAACATTTCCGGATATATTTTCAATTTTCAACTATTAACTATTAATATCTATGTTTACTATTAACTATCAATTTTCAACTATTAACTATTAATATATTAAATATTAGCAGGAAAATTCCGGAGAAGTTCTTTATTAAAAAATTTACTGAATACATTCTAAACTCATAGCTACTAATTAGTCGCAGTAAATTGAAAATCTACCATTATTATCTACAGGAAATCTTTTTGTTGGAACAATAACATTAGGGAAACACTTAGCCAATGCCTTTATTCTTTTTAAAAATTGCTTATCTCCAATTTTCTTGTCAACTGCAAAACAATACCAGTTTTGGCGTTGATAATTTGTGGCCAACTCTGTTTCCAGAAATCTATAATTCTTTAATAACTTTTATTAATTTTACTAATGATTTTTAAAAATTTTTTTAAAATTACTTTATAAACAATTCTAGCATAAGCTAATGGATATTTCTTTTCTGCGGTGGATAAAGGCTTTTCCAAAAAATAATTTCTTTCTTTAATTGATCTACAATCCATTAATAAATGTTTTGGATCTTTATATATTAATCTAGATTTTGCTTCGAGTTTTACATAACTCTCATCTCCTTCAATTATTCTTTTGCAGTCTATACGTTCCTAAAAATTTTTCTTCTTTAAAAAAATTTATTTATTATCAACTTTGTCATGTCGAATTTCATTTTTGATTGAATTCCAAATTTTTTCATTAATTTTTTCCACATCTCCACTTTTAAAAATTTTGTTTGGTCTGTGGTGATGCTCAGATTCAATTGACTTTAATTTAAATAAATGACTTTTAATCAGATTTTATGTTTTGTGCCCTCCCCTATTTAAGAAAAACAATTCTCCCCAAAACTGTTCATTTGTTAATTTATTCTTTTAGTTATTTATTCCTTAAGTCTCCCGCTAATTTATTATTTGGAGTTCGCTCCTTTAAATTGTATTGCCTCCTTTTAATTAAATAAATATTAATTGGAATTTCTTTGTGTTTGGATTTCAATTTGACTTAAAGAGAGTTTAAATTAAAAGAAGTGAAAGTTAAAAGAGAAAGACCTTAAAATTTTTCACGGATCCATCTTCATCCTTTATTTCAGTTTTAACAATTTTAGGAACCACTTGTATTGGAGAAGTAGGGAAAATCATGTAAATAATCGCCACAATTGATGCCGCAATTAAGAGGACACTTATAAAACAGTGTAAAAAAGTCTTCATTGAATAATATTTTGGATTGAATTTGATTTGAAATTTTACTTATTTTATTTATTAAAATAAAAATAAAATCAAATAAAAATATTTAACAAGTGGTTATCTACATTTTAACTTTATTTCCTTGTTATTCGACAAGCAGACTATAAAACACGTCAACTATTTTTAGAAAAGTGTTGGCAGTTGTGTTGGAATTTAATAAAAGAAACAGTGATGATTAAATTTATGTATAAGATACATAATACAACAATATTTATAAATAAAATATTGCAAAAAAAATAATTTTTCAGATAATGCTTCGAACAAATTTTTAAGTGAAAAAATAAAACAATACTCTTAGTATTTATTAATATCACAATTAAATTTATCAATATCCACTTTGCCTGTTTTTATCATTTCTTTGTGAAAGCGTGTCTGAAATTTATAAAATAAATTAATTAATTAGTTTAAAATTACTTGAGGCCAATTTTGATAGAATGTACTATTCAATCTTTTCAATCCCTTATTTACAAAAGTTCTGCTTCTCATCTCCTCATGCCAACAAAGAATGGCCCCAAAATCGAAATCAGCTTGAATTTTATTTGCAAAAAGGAAATTATTATCTCGCAAATTGACTGACTTTAAAAAATATTATTTAAAAAGCATTTTAAATGTTATAAAAAATTAGTGCAGATTATACCGCTCCATGTACATAAAAATAATATTAAATAACTACTAAATCCTCCAGGCCAAACATGCAAAGATCATTACGAATATATCCGCTAGGGCATTTTTTTGTGTCCGAATCATTTACCCAGATAGAAAATCTAAATAGGAACTACATATATTAATTTAATCTCATTTATTATCGGCAATAAGTCAATATTTTTTTAATTTCAAAAATAAGTTCCAGAGAAGAAACAAAATTTTTTAAAAATATAACTAACCTATTAGCAAATGGTGTAGAAATATTTTTATCAATGCATTTATGTGTAAAAGCATTGGGTGCTTTTAACTCATCTGTTGCCAATAATGTTTGAAAAAATAGTTCATCACAACCATATTCCCCGCTTATTTGTTAGTTTAATTATTTTAATTAAATTAAGTGTTAACTACCAGGTATTTAACTGATGAAGCAATTGAGTTAAATCAAGTTTTTGTACAATAAATTCAACAAAACTGCGTGCCAAACTAGTCTGTACATATCCTTTGGATATTTTTAAAGATAAAGGTTTTCCTTCTGTATCAACTTGATTATTTAATTTTACTTTAGAGATTAATTATTTTAAATATTATTTTCTAAATTCCAACCATCTCTGAATAATTTTAAATCTTTAAAAGTCCAATTAAATTCATTGTAAAGATCTTCAATAAGCTCTTTTTGATTTAAGCCATATTCAACATCATTAGCCCCTCCCAACCATTTTAATATTTGGATAATTTCCTCATTTGTTTTTATCTGTATATCATCATTTTGAAGGGTAAAAACATATTCCCATTTATATTTGCTTTTAGATAATTCCTCCAAACATGACATAAATGCTGTTCCCATATGAACGCCTTAATTATAATAATTTTTAATTGTTTCATAAGTCCAGAACATTCTTTGGAAAATGCTTAATATAATGAAATTCAGAAACTGAAACATTAATAATTTTCCGGAAATATTTTATTATATATTTCCGGAAATATTATATTATATATTACCGGAAAAATTATATTATATATTTCCGGAAATAATATATTATATATTGTCGGAAATATTATATTATATATTTCCGGAAATATTATATTATATATTTCCGGAAATATTATATTATATATTTCCGGAAATAATATATTATATATTTCCGAAAATATTATATTATATATTTCCGGAAATATTATATTATATATTTCCGGAAATAATATATTATATATTTCCGGAAATATTATATTATATATTTCCGGAAATATTATATTATATATTTCCGGAAATATTATATTATATATTACCGGAAATATTTTATTATATATTTCCGGAAATATTATATTATATATTACCGGAAATATTATATTATATATTCCCGGAAATATTATATTATATATTTCCGGAAATATTATATTATATATTTCCGGAAATATTATATTATATATTTCCGGAAATATTATATTATATATTTCCGGAAATATTATATTATATATTTCCGGAAATATTATATTATATATTTCCGGAAATATTATATTATATATTTCCGGAAATATTATATTATATATTTCCGGAAATATTATATTATATATTACCGGAAATATTTTATTATATATTTCCGGAAATATTATATTATATATTACCGGAAATATTATATTATATATTCCCGGAAATATTATATTATATATTTCCGGAAATATTATATTATATATTTCCGGAAATATTATATTATATATTTCCGGAAATATTATATTATATATTTCCGGAAATATTATATTATATATTACCGGAAATATTTTATTATATATTTCCGGAAATATTATATTATATATTTCCGGAAATATTATATTATATATTTCCGGAAATATTATATTATATATTACCGGAAATATTTTATTATATATTTCCGGAAATATTATATTATATATTTCCGGAAATATTATATTATATATTTCCGGAAATATTATATTATATATTTCCGGAAATATTATATTATATATTTCCGGAAATATTATATTATATATTTCCGGAAATATTATATTATATATTTCCGGAAATATTATATTATATATTTCCGGAAATATTATATTATATTTTTCCGGAAATATTATATTATATATTTCCGGAAATATTATATTATATATTTCCTGAAATATTGCAAAGCATATATAGATAGCTATTTATTTCCTAAGCTATAGCCCTATCTATGGCCCAGCAGCTTTACTATATAATAAAATCTATGAAAGCTATATTTTCTGGAATAATTCTAAATCCCTGAAATATTATTATTATTTTTCAGAAAATAAAAATTTTTTCTGAAAATCTATTCTGTCGCGTGTCGCGCGCGATTTTTATGTAAGCGTAGCGTTATTAAATATACTAATAAATCGCATAAATGGGAAATCTACCATCACTATCTACAGGAAATCTTTTTGTTGGAACAATAACATTTGGGAAGCACTTAGCCAATGACTTTATTCTTTGAAAAAAATGTTCATCTTCAAGTTGCGAGTCAACAGCAAAACAATACCAATTTTGGGGTTGATAATTTGTGGCAAATTCTGCTTCCAAAAATCTATAACTCTTTAATGATTTTTATTAATTTTATAATAATTTTTAAAAATTTCGTAATTTAAAAATATTTTAAACTACTTCATAAACAATTCTTGCATAAGCCAATGGATATTTCCCTTCTTCAGTAGATAAAGGTTTTTCCAAAAAATAATTTCTTTCTTTAATTGATTTACAATCCATTAATAAATTTTCTGGATCTTTATATGTTAATCTAGAATTTGCTTCGAGTTTTATATAATCCTCTTCTCCCTTAATTATTCTTTTACAGTCTATACGTTCCTAAAAAATTTTCTTTCTTTAAATATTTATTCATAATCAACTTTATCATGTCCAATTTCATTTTTGATTGAATTCCAAATTTTTTCATTAATTTTTTCAAAATTTTTTGATTCGTTTTCTTCCTTTATTTCAGTTCTAACAATTTGAGTAAGCACTTGTATTGGAGAAGTAGGAAAAATCATGTAAATAATCGCTACAATTGATGCCGATATTAAGAAGGCAATTAAAAAACAGTGTAAAAAAGTCTTCATTGAATAAAAATTTTGATGGAATTTAATTTGGAATTTTAATAGTTTCTTTATTCAAATAAAAATTTTTAAAATGTGGTTATAACCATTTTAATTTTATTTCCTTGTAATTTTAATTAGTTTATTTATTCAATATTTAACAATAGTTTAACTTTCTTTCCTTGTTATTCAACACAATAAAACACGTGGCATTTTTTATGTATATTTCATATTTTCCCAATTTTCGTCCATGTGTCGCCATTTTCAGAACTATTTTCATTGTAAGGATGATTCACCTAGAGCATTTAAAACACTTATGCGGGGGTTAAACGAAAAAAGGAAAAAGAGAAAGCATTAGTCGATGCCCCGATAGCTCAATGGTACTGCGATATATGACGTTCTTTTCCGTTACATAAGACAATTTTATCTGATAATAGGAGGAGCCTTACCCCAGAGAATATTGAAATGTACTTAATAGATTAATCTGATTTTAATCCATATTTTGACTTTTTTAGTCCATATTTTATGTCCATATTTCACGATTGATCGTCCATACAAATCCGGGCCTTATTTGTTAGTGATGATTAATAATTATAAGATAATACAACAATATTCATAAATAAAATATTGTAAAAAATCATTTCTTAGATATCACCTCGAAACAAATATTTTAAGTGAAAAAGAAAATCTTAGTTTTTATTAATATCACAATTAAATTTATCAATATCCACTTTGCCTGTTTTAACCATTTCTTTGTGGAAGCGGGTCTAAAATTTATAAAATAAATTAATTAACTAGTTTAAAAATTGCCTGAGGCCAATTTTGATAGAATGTACTGTTCAATCTTTTCAATCCCTTATCTACCAAGATTCTACTTCTCATCTCTTCATGCCAGCAAAGAATGGCCCCAAAATCAAGTTCAGCTTGAATTTTATTTGCAAAAAGGAAATTATTTTTATCTCTCAAATTTTTTGCCTTAACAAATTACTGTAAAAATTTAATAATTTTTAATTAACCAAGTCCTCAATGCCAATAACACAAATGCCGTGGTTATACTTGCCGCTAAAACATTTTGGGGTTGATGAATATATCCAAGCGGAAAATCTAAAAGATTAAACTATGTATCTATTCCAATTAAGTGTCCTCTAAAATTCAATAGCTCCATTTAAATAGCCCTTTTAAACTATTTCTATAAATCACGTCATCTTAGTCCCTTATTACCTAGTCTTGGAGACAGCCTGGGTGGAGATAACTCGATAAATCTAGACTTATTTAGAGATCTCTTCTCGATCATGTCTATAGTTGCTTAATACTCATTTTTGGTAAATAATCCTGATTTTGGAGTTGAAGTCAAAAATCGGGGATCAAGTGGGATATTATTGGACTTAGAAATATTATTATGATATTCCTAGGAATTTAGAACCTTGTAATATAAGGCACATCAACTTTTTTGTCAAGACATTTGTGAGTAAAAGCATTAGGAGCCTTTAAATCGTCAGATGCCGTTAATGTTTGGAAAAATAATTCATCGGCCCCATAATTCCTTAAAAAATATATCTATTTAATTATACGTTTTGTCATACCAAGAATTCAATTGTCTAATAATTTTGTCCAAATTAATTTTTTGTACAATAAAATCAACAAAAGGGCGTGCCAAACTAGTTTGCACATATCCTTTACTTAATTTTAGGGATAAAGGTTTTCCTTTTGTATCAACTTGATTATTTAATTTATCTTTAAAATTTAAATTTTTTAAAATATTATTTTTAAATTCTAACCATCTCTAAATAAATTTAAATCTTTAAAAGTCCAGTTGAATTTATTATGTAAACTTTTAATCATATTTTGCTTGTCTTGATTTCTAAATTCATATTCAACATCATTAGCCCCTCCTAACCATTTTAATATTTGGATAATTTCCTCATTTGTTTTTATCTGTATATCATCATTTTGAAGAGTAAAAACATATTCCCATTTATATTGCTTTTTAGATAATTCCTCCAAACATGACATAAATGCATTAGCCATGTAATGGCCTTAAAATAAAATTAATTATTTTAAACAGAATAATTGGGAACAAAAAATGCATAAAATGGCTTTTGAAAGGAAATGTTCTTTATCCTTCGGTGATCAACTCAATTTTGATTCAGTCGAAACTCTAATTATCCTCTATTTTTTATTCTCCAAGTGTGTAATCTCTTCAGGCTCCCACCGATTTTAGTCTGTTATTTGCTATTCCGCTTTTGCCTTCCGCTTTTCATTATTTTTGCCTCCGTCTCTCACATAGAGACGGTAGCTCTATCCTCTCTCACATAGAGGGATTTAGACAAAAAACGATGATCGGGATTTTGGAACAGAGATCCCGATCCGGGTCCTGATCCCGACTGGGATCCCGATCCCGCTGAACTCTACTCTCACATTCTACACTACGGCAAGGCCCATCATTAATATAAATCTCCATTTTATGTAATATTTTTTCTGCTTCAATTAAGTACATACCTAAATTAGAATATAAGCAAACTAACCATCTCTATCCACCGGATACCTTATATTCGGAATTATAATGTTTTTGAAACACTTAGCCAAGGAGCGCACTCTTTTACCAAAAAGTTCCCTGGCTTTCGAATCAATAGCAAAACAATACCAATTTTGGGGACGATAATTAGTAGCTAATTCTGCTTCCAAAATCCGGTAATCCTTTAAATTAAAATTAAATTTAATTTAAGTTCACCATTGAAACTTTATAAACAATTCTAGCATAAGCCAATGGATATTTCCCTTCCTCCGTAGATAAAGGCTTTTCCAAAAAATAATTTCTTTCTTTAATTGATCTACAATCCATAAATAAATTTCTTGGATCTGCATATGTTAATCTAGATTTTGCTTCGAGTTTTATATAACTCTCATCTCCATTTATTATTCTTTTGCAGTCTATACGTTCCTAAATTTTTTTAAATTAATTTGCAATTTCTTAAAATTATTAGTCTTCTGATTCTTAACCTATTTCCTTCATTCGACTCTTACCTTGAACATGTAATAAATTCTGAATTATGGTACAGTGTGTCAGGAAATGATATAACCATTTCGCATAATTTTGTTACGGATAATGGAAAAAATCTACAAAAATCTCTCAAAAAGTTTCTACCATATGGTTGTCGGATAGTTGGAAATCTTCGGATAACCGGATTCGGTGTCCGAACCGAAAATTTTCGGATATCCAGCATTTTTCGAATCCGGATCCGACAACCTTATTAATGAAGGCCTTTAAAACCTAATAGTAAAATGCATGTTCCACCTATCAATTTAAAGCTCATTTCGTTTCTATTTCGATATGTTTTTTGTGTTTACCCAGAAAAATTAAAACCAAGTTAATATGCTTAGATGAAGAGGATCATGCAGATTTATAAATTTTTTAATTTTTTCGAAAGATTTAGAAGTGTTCGTGAACCAAGTTCGATATCTCGAGATAACCGAGATTTAAATACCGACCAACCTTTGAGTGTCGAATTTCATGTTTAAATGAATTCCAAATTTTTTTATTAATTGCATCCAAATCTGGTTTAAATTCTTTATCAGATTTAGCAATTTCCTTAATTTCATATTTTAATTTAGCTGGTGGGAATACTACGGTAGTTTCTCCCACCTCGATTGGAGGTGGATGATGATGCTTTATTTCTTCCTTAATTTTAACCGGATCAACAACTTTTTTGAGTTGGACATCCTTTTTATGGTCATGGTCCTTCCCTTGAACTTTCTTATCCTCCTTCCCCCCATTCTTTTTATTGTACTCCCCCTCATCCTTGTTATTATCCTTCCCCTCATTCTTGACGTGAACATGGACTTTCTCAGGTATTGAAGTAGGCAAAAGAGGAAGTAGTTCTTCTAAAGGTGAAATTGGAAGGCTTGATCTTTCAAATAATACTTTTGGGGGTGTAACTAAATAAAGCATTATAATTACAAATAATGCTGCCGTGACAATGAATAAATTGTTTATCCGCATACGTCGCATTTCTAAAGTAAAATTGAATTAGGGGAAGGATTGGGACTTTAGATAAAACTGAGACGGCTAAAAGATTAAGAGCGGTTCTAATTCAGGTGCCTAGATGGCAGAAAAAATTAAGTTCACGATTTTGGGTTCTGGGATTCACTACCAAAAAACGAAGGGAATTCACGAGTTCTGAAATCGAGTTGGGTAAAAGTCATAAAATTAATTTTTAAAATAAATAAAATATTTATGCAATAAATTACACGGTACAATAAATTATACACCTATAGAGCAGGGGTGTGCCGAAAATGATTTTAAAAAGCGAAAGACGAAGGCAAAAAGGCCTGCTACAGAGTAGTGATGTTCGGGTATCACGATCCCGACTCCGAAAAATTTCCTGAGTTTTTGGCCTCCCGATCCCGATGTCATTTCCCGACCCAACTCCCGTTTCCCGAGTTTTTCTTCTCCCGAACATCACTACTTACAGAGGTACAAAAAAATATGACGTCAATAAAAAATTACAAAAAACAAAAAAATTTAAAATGGGACAATGGGATTTTTCAGAATTCCCTGGAGGACTAGGAAGTTTTTAAAAAATAATTTTCAAAATTATTTCGAAATATCAATCAGATTTAAAATTAATAAAATGATTAAAATAATAAATTAACAAATAATGTTTTAGCAAAAATTCAAACACAAAAATAGTTAACATCTTCATAAAATATATAATAGACGTTTTTTAAAATGAGTTGGCAATAGTGTTGGAATTTTAAAGGGAAAATAACAAATATTTTTTTCAACTTTATTTGGGAATAAAATACATAAGAATATTTTCGATTCCCTCAACTCTCGCTCATAGGGTGGAAATAAAAATAAGAATATTTTGTAAAGGGGAAAATTAAAAATTAAATTCAATAAATTTTCTTAAAATTATCTGAGGAAATTAAAAAAGGGGATATAAAAACAATTTTAATGCAATAAGTCAATTACAGTATTTTCTATAGAAGATCCCCCCATGGGGCTCTATTTTTTAATCATACTCCAAAGGGTGCTGCTTTATTGAAAAAAGGGATGTGCTTTAATAAAAAAGGGGTGGTGATTCCTTCAACGGTCCTCCGCCAAATAAGGGAGGAGTTTTTATTAGTCAGAGGCTCACCCTTAATCATAGCCCAAAGTGGCCCTGGAAAAAGAGGGGGTGCTCTATTTAAATGGGTGGTCATTCCTTCAACTGTCCTTCACCAAATAAGGGAGAAGTCTTTATTAGAGAGAGGGCCTCTAATTGAGAAAAGGGGGATTTAATTCAGAAAATACGGTATTTTTATGAGAAAAATTTGGGGATTCTTCAACTGCCCCCCCCCCCCACAAAATGAGGTCGGAGTCTTTATTAGAGAGAGGGCCTCAAATTCAAAAAAAGGGGGATTTAATATAGAAATACATTAATTATATAAAAAAATTTTTTGGTCAAATTATGTACAATTAAATTTGTCAATGTCTACTTTGCCTTGTCGCCTCCATTCCTGATGAAAACGTGTCTGAAAAAATTTCGAGATTAATTTTTCAAACATTTTTCAAAAAAACTCGCCTGAGGCCAATTTTGATATATTGTTGAATTTAATTTTTTTAATCGGTTTTCTAAAATACTCCTCCTCCTCATTTCTTCATGCCAACAAATAATCGCTCCAAAATCGTATTGTGGCATCATTTTATTGATAAATAAATATTTTGAGTTGTGGAAATTGTGCCACTAAATTATTAAATAAAATTTTTAATTTTGGAAGAAAATTTTTTTTATTTTACCAAATCATCTATTCCAAATACACAACTATAATGACGAAAATTTTTACTATAACATTTGTCATTGTGCTCAAATTCCCAAATGTTGTATCTTTAATAAGGAAAATTTATCTTTCTTTATACAAATAATATTTTTAGCATCTCCCCCCCCCCTAGAGACCATGATCCCTCCCCCCTAGAGACCATGAGCATCCCCCCTAGAGACCTGGCGATATCTCGAAAAATCTCAATTTCGATAACCGAGATATCTTAGCTCTTTATGAGGTTAATGAGACACAATAATATTTTCGGACAAGCATATTGGAACATACATAAGTTTACTAATGTGTCAATTATCATAATCAGATATTGTTTTGTTCGATACGATTCTGATGATAAAAAAAGTAATTTAGATATCTAATAAAAATTATCTTAGAAAATAAAAGCCTTAAAAAGTATCAGAAAAGGTCTATGCGCAAAAGTCTCTCACTCGGAACATGTTAGTAAAAAACAAAATCCTGTATAGTTTAGGGTACAAAATAAAAATAAATATAAGTTGCGCCCCGAACGCCCGGGGGCGGGTGTATCGGAGCAAGGGGGTCGGGGCGCCACAAAACTAGGCTAAGTAATGAATTTTATCAAGCATATGATCGCAAAATATTATTTATCTAGTACCTAGTTACATACGGCACATTAATTTTTTGATCAATGCATTTATGTGTAAAGGCATTAGGTGCCTTTAAATCATCTGAAGCCAAGAGTGTTTGAATAAAAAATTCATCCCCCGCATATTCCCTTAAATTGAAAATTTTCTTTCGAGTAAAAATAATTTTCGAGACCAACTATCCAGCTGCTCAAGCATTTTGGTTAAATCGAGTTTATTAACTACAAACTCCACAAAAGGTCGTGCCAGACTTGCTTGAATGTTGCCACTAGCCAATGACAATTTAGGAGGTAATCCTTTATCATTAAGGCCTTTGTTTAGTGATGCTTTTAATTAAGGATATTTTAATAAAATTGATAAGATTTTAAAAATATTCGAGCCTCATTTTTGGATACACCTTCCGACCCCTCCAACCAGAATTTAGTTCCCCTCAAGCCTATTTTCAGCCCTAAGTTCTGTATTGGTGTAGGGGTATTTGCAGGTATATAAGTAGTCGGATTATAATAGTACTAATAGTTCTGATAGCTCCCGATTTCCTTCGTCTGATCAAACCAAATCGGGGCACCCCCCCCCCCTCTTGCCCAGAATTAAGTTCTTCTCAAGATTCTTCTCAAGATGTGTATTGTTTAGAGGTATTACTAGGCTTATAAACAACTTATAATATTATAAGCCTCCGTAGTCTATTTGTTTCATACTAGCCCGGATATCTCCCGATTTCCTTAGTCTAACCCGAGCAAATCAGAGCTGCACGCAATTGAGGATTTCGAGTTGCGGATTATGTAGATTTCGGGGGGTTTTGAAATTGCGGAATATTTTCTGCAATTGCGTGCAGGCCTGAACCAAATCCACCATCGTCTACAATGTAACATTCTAGTTTGGGTAAACATTCTTATCTCAAATCTTGGATAACTTTCGGAATTAATAGGGTGTATCTAAAATTATGCTCGATCTAAGCACTCTTCTCACCATCTTTAAAAATTTTTAGGGATTCAAACGTCCAATTAAATTTTTTATTGAGACCGTCTAATCTATCTCTTTCTGCTTTACTATAAAAATCATATTCGGCATCACAAGCCCCATCAAGCCATTTAAATATTTGAACCATTTCTTCGTTAGTTTTAATTTGAATGTCGTGATTCTGTAATGTTACCAAATATTCCCATTTTCTTTCTTTTTTAATTAATTCTTTGAAACAGGATAGATGGGCCTTTCCCATACCGTGACCTTGAAAAAAAAAATTTTTTTTTAATTTTTGATAATTTTTTTTGAAAATTTTCCCACCTCCACTATCTACAGGATATCTACTCCTCGGAATTATAATATTTTTAAAACAACTGGCCAAAGCCAAAATTTTTTCATAAAAAGAGTCGTTCGCCTTCGAATCAACAGCAAAACAATACCAATTTTGGGGGTGATAATTAGTAGCTAATTCTGCCTCCAAAAACCGATAATCCTTTAAATTAATTTATCAGATATATTTTTCGATTAAATTAGAGCTACTTGATTAACTATTCGAGCAAATGCCAACGAAAATTTTTTTTCTTCCTCAGATCGGGTTATATTCAAAAAATGATTCCTCCCATAGATATCTTCACACTTTAAAGACAAATTTGGATTGTCTTTATAAGTTATGATTTTATTTTGTAAATTATACAAATAGTCGTTGTCCCCATGGACTATACGTTCACAATTAAATCTGTTCTGAAAATTTTTTTGTTAATTTTTAATGCTGATTTAAAAGTGAGTTTATTATCAAGGTATTATCAAGGTAGTCACATAATTGGGGCCGAGAAAAAAAACAAAAAATTTTCACTCTTAAAGAAATATGGTTAAGATTGGAGCCTCTCAGCATACTTCTAATTTTTGGTGTCTCTCAAAAATCTTAAAAACTCAAGTTCAGAAGTAAAAGCAAAAAAGCCTTGCTCCCATCCTGTTCGGATATCCAAAATAATTTCCTAACCCTGTCCTCAACAAATTTAACGATCGAATATATAAATGAGAAAGATTAAGGGATGAACCTTCGAGGTCCGCCCGAGACATCAATAGAGGGAGAACCGTCCGAGACATCAATAGAGGGAGAACCGTCCGAGACATCAATAGAGGGAGAGAGGGGCATCATAGGAGAGATATATGTAGGGCATCATAAAAGACATCATAAGAGGCATCGCTTAGCCAGGGGCTTTTTCGAGGGAAACCAACTAAGTTTATCCCTCAATTTTTTAAATTACCCAAGTTGCATTTTGTTCACTTTCAAACGCTTCCCAAATTTTTTTGTTGATTTGATCAAAAGCTTCTTCTTTTTCCCGTTCCTCTTTAAAAATAACATCGAAATTATCTTCTTTTAAAGCTTTTCCAATACGAAAATCCTGAGATATTAAAAACAAATAAACCAAAATAATTACAACTGAAAAGCACAATAAATAGGCACAACGACGTTTATGATGAGTTAACTATGAATTATTATTTAAAAATGGGGATTTGGAATTTTTGTTAAAAATAAAACGAAGTTTTTAATTCTTAGATAACTTATTAGGGTTAAAAAATTGAATGTATTTATTCTTTAATAGCGATACCCCCTCTGATATACTCCCCTTCTTCTCATAACGATACTCCTTAAATTGGAGGTATTGCTTAGGTCACACTAGAGCTTCGCCGGAAGTTCCGGGATTTTTGTGTTGCAGTCACTTTTCCCTATTAGTCACCTATACGGAGATGTAGAAACAATTGTGTAGACAGATCACCCATTCTCAGGCCCTTTCAACAAATTTAACCTTAAGGTAGAGGTTTAATAATCCTCAAATATAATTTTCATTCTTCGACCTCAGTCTAATTGAGGTGGGTCGGAACAGTCAGAGGTGTCGGAAATGGAAGAGCCGGAAAGCGAAACAGGCTCAAAAGTCGGAACTCGGAAATCAAATTTTTTTTTCGGAAATCGGAATTCCGACCCACCTCTGGTTTAAATAAATAATAAACGAAGTTTGTTAAATAAAGGTGTGTCTAAATCTAGAGGTTTCTAAAACTGAAGGGTTATTCTAATTAAGTCTTTAATCTAATTATCATAAAAAAATTCTTGTAAGAATTAATTAACACCCACATAATTAATTGAAGTCAAAGACGAATATTGTATTTTTGTTGGAATAAATGCCATAAGATTTAATTTAATTTTAATAGGTATTGAATAAATATAAAATTTAAAATAATGTCTTTTTTCAATGCTTGAATGTTTCTTTAAAAAATTTATTAATCATTTTTAGATGAATAATGGGGTAAACTATATTTTAAAACAATTTTTGCTATTTTTAAAAATTTATTTATAAAAATTATTTAGAAAAAATGTCTTAATAAAAATTAAAAAAAATTTAAAAAATTTAAATAAAATTAATAAATAAAATTAAAAGTCAATAAATATTTAATGAATAAGTGTAAACGAAAGTGAATTATAATTAAAAATGGTAAAGAAATATAAGAGGATTTATTCAAAATTATTCAATTTCATTCGACCTTTGTATACGTGTCACTCACTCTCCTCTTCACATTGGCAAAATTCCCTCATCATTAAAGGCAATATTAAATAAATTAAAGACTTTATTTTCTATCATGCTCTAATGGGAGATTAAAATTCGTGGGACGAATAAAAATTCGTGGGACGGATGTCTTAAAGTCCGCCAAGTAGATGTAAAATTGAAATTCCTTTAATTGATAATTATAAGTGGATTGGAGGAAGGTAGTATGAAACACCCATTTTTCAGAAAATTGTAATATTTTTTTAATTTTCTCTTGAATTTGAAATTCCATTTTGTAATATGTATTTTTGAAGCTACATAAGAGGAGTTTCCGATAAAAATTTCAATCCAATCTGACCTTAATAACATTGATAAAATAAAAACAATTTTTAATGAAGCTATAGCTATATTTATGAATAAAGTTGCCGTTATCGAATCGGGCCTCATTTTATCGAAACATTTTTTTGATCTCTCATCGAACTTGGCCAATCGAGACTTTTCTAGGACAAAATTCAATGCCCGATATTACGAACTTAAACAAGACCGACACATTATGATGCCTACTGTATTTTCTCGATTAATTCCCCTGGGGAATTATTTTTTCAACCCTTCCCTGGCATGGAGGGATTAATCGAGGGAGGAGAATTAATCGAGAGGGGGAATTATTCGAGGGAGGGGAATTAATCGAGAAAATACGGTATATTATCGAAAAAGGAAATATTAAAACGAGAAATAAAATTAATAAAAATTTTTAAAGATAAAAAAATTAAAATGTAAATAAAAAAAGGACCATTTTAAGTGTCGATTTTTTTATCTTATAATGGTTAAATATCGCTTATAATCAATGAAAAAAATAAGAGAATGCTTGTATTATTTTAAATAAAAAAAATTTTTTTTTATTTAATTGTTTGCACAAATGTTAAATTTTGGATTGAGTTGAAAAAATAATTTTTAAAAAATTCTTTTCGTTATATATTCAATTTTGGCTCTAGTTTAGGGTAAGAGCCGCTTGAGCTTTATAGGCCTCCCATAAATTTAAACGTTCCCAAAATATTTTTTTTGTATGCACTCAATATTTATTAAAATCAGTTTGTGTGTTTTTTATCATTTTGACTCCTCGTTGGGTGATCAAGAAGACCAATGATCTTGAAACAAAATAATAACTAATAATCATGATCAATGACCAAGAAGCTTCTCGTCAATAGTCTCAATTTTATTGTCAAACTTGTCGGGAAGGAGATTGCTTCTGTGAATTTTGTAGACCCTAGGGTTACTCATCGGGAAGAAGATGAAGCTTTTAAAAATTTTTTAAAAATTTTTAATCTTTAAATAAATTTATTTAGGAGGGTTTTATTAAAATAAAAAAATACTACAAAAATTAAAAATTTAATATTGTCTAATAAAAATTTAAAATAAAATATAAATGAGGTAATCAACGTATAAGGGTTTAAATGTACTACTATAAAAATTCTAATCGTTTAAAAAAATACTGGACTATAAAAAATTTAGTAAAAAATAATTTTCTGTTTTCCTGTCTATCCATTCAAATTTAAAAATTATTTTAAGGATTTGAATAATAATTTTTCCATATTTTATTAAATAATTTCAATCAATTGTCAATTTTGAATTTTTCGTCCCAACACTTATATCCTCATTTTTAATATTATTAAATTGATTATTAATATGTGGGTTGGAATGTCGATGTATTATACAATTGTACAAATGTACAAACCAATTGTAAACTAAATTTACAAAATGTACAAACCACAATTGAACAAACACTTCTCTATATTGGGAGCTGAAAAAAAATTTTTTTTAATAAAGAAAAAAAATTTTTTTAATAAAGAAAAAATTTTTTTGAGGGATTTTAGTGGGTGTATAGTCAAGCGAGTTTATTTTAGATTTTTTAAAATTAATTATCAACTAAAATTTAATTTTTTCCCGCCACGCAAAGACCGCACGACCACACAAGGCGAACTCGGAAAACATAATAAATTTAATTTATAAGGTTAAATAAAAAGATTTTTAATTTTAAAAATAATTATTCATTACGAATGGACCCAATAGTTAATTTTAAAAATTAAAATTCAACTGTGTAGAGATAAGTTAATTAAAAATTTGTCTGGTAGTACCGAACAATTGTCTTGAGCCTTTTTAATTTTCAAGCATAATTCTTGTGGTAAAGTCTTGGGCTGGAAAAATTTCCGGTCTCGGACCGCTCTCGGATAGCTCTCCACTTTTTACCAAACACTTCTTCCAATTAAGAAAATTATTTCTTTAAAATATATTCTAGAGCTTTACTTATTGTTAGCTGTAGGCCGCGCGCTTTTCCGAGTCCCCACAATTTTTAATTACCCTCGAAACTCACTTTATGGGACAGAAAAAATCGTGATTTTTTTCGATCGGAACTCACGTGAGTTCCGAAAAATCGGAACTCACTTTACGGGACAGAAGAAATTGTGATTTAGGTATGTGGGGGTGTTAATTATGTCCCATTTTGATAAAAAATAATTCTCCAAAAAAATTTTCCAACCTCGTTATCGTATACAACATAAAATTAGTTGCATAATTAATGTAAAAAATATTGAGAAAAGTTAAATTGGGTATCCAACAATCAAACTTGTGTAAATGAAAAAAGTTGATAACAGTAATGTTTAAATTATAAGGAAAATTTAAAAGGACATAAACTAGGGGAATAACGAAAATGATATTGTTGTTGGTACGTGTTTCTGCTGACATTGCTGTCTTGTCTTTAAAGGGATAAAAATTATTTTTTTTTTAATTTAATCCATCACAAAAAACCTAAATTCAGAAGTTATCTTCGCCAAGAGACCTATTGACTCAAATGACCTGCGCCTAAAAGACCTACAAATTTTCGGATATCGGGGGATTTAGAGGGACTAATGAGGATAAATACCCAGCTCTATTAAGATAAGTACCCGGTATGTATTTCAGAAAACCATAACTCCGGGTTGGCTATGTTTTCTAAAATCTCTATCCCCTTATATCGCACTTAATCCATCGCTATTCCTTAATTGCTTTCAAATCCCTTGATATTTTCTGGGTGTAGGTCTTTTCACTGGGTGTAGGTCTTTGGTGTAGGTATTCTCTGGGTGTAGGTCTTTTGGGTTGACCCTTTTTGAAATATTTGGCTAATTTTTTGAAAATTCATTTTAGAAATTAAAATCCAAACTTTGAATAATATGTCGAGCACGTAGTTTAAAAATAATTGCAAAATTGACTAAGAATACGGCAAATAATGGTAAAATAAAGCTTATAAAAATTCTTGGGCCAAGAACTAATGGCTAAAAATAATTTTTTTATAAAAATTTTCCGAAAAATTACCTTAGCTAAAGGTAAATTGTTGTTATAATAATATTTATAAGGATTATTTTTGTTTACGTAAGCAGGATTTCTTTCTCGAATAACCAGTAAAAGGTTGAAATTTGCCAAAAATGAAAATGTGAGTATTACCAAAATTATTTTCCATCTGTGGAATTGTGTGTACTAAAAATGAAGAGAGGATTTTAAAAATCTAAAATTAATTTTAAAAAATATTTTAAATGGATTTGGTTGGATCAGACGAAGTAGATAAGGAACTAGTATATTTATATATCCTTCATAAACAAAGACGTGATCTCCTTGATTATATGGGAACGATCTCTCATTAGAGATCTCATTGATTATATTTAAAAAGAGGGATTAGAATGTTTCTTGCATTAAGATGATCATCAATGCTATGGCCTAGGTTCTTGCAGATGCCAAGTCGGATGAGATAAGAATAACACTTTATTCATATTTACATAAACGTAACGATGTAAGCAAAAGTAAATTTATGGCTGGATCAGGAGAAGGAGAAAAGGAACTAGCCGGCTAGTATTATCCTAAATTATTAATATTCAATTCGTCTTAATAAAAGGGTCGTCATATTTTTAAATATCATATCAGAAAAAACAAACTTTTAAATGTTTCAAAGGAAATACAACAGCAAAGAAGCGTTCAATAGTCAGAAGGAATATAGTTAAATTGCTAACATAAATAGGCACATTCCAAAAATATTGTCCAAAAAAGTTTATCCAATAAGATCTTATTCCAAATTTAAAAATCCGTTCAAGAATAATTTTTAATAAAAGAACAGAATCGGAAGCAAGTAATACAATTAAATATTTGTTGACATAATTCTTTAAAATTATTTTTTATTTCATATGTAACCTCACTCTAAGATGCCCCAAATACTTGTTACTGTTTGCCCCCAAAAATACATGTTAGATGCCCCCAATACTAGATAACTCTAATTAGACTATGTTTATTGAAATTTGGTTGTAAATTGGCTGCAGGAAGCTGCCTGAATGATACCTCCATTTTAAGAAATATCTCATTTTAAGAGACCTCGTTTTAAGAGACATCTCATTTTAAGAGACTCGTTTTAAGAGACATCTCATTTTGAGAGACTCGTTTTAAGAGACATCTCATTATAAGAGACATCTCGTTATAATAAATACCCAATATTGGGTGCACCTCTATTTAAGTTATGTCTATTAAGATTTATTTGAGCATTGGTTGGGGGAACTGTGCAAACTGTACTTCCAATTTAAGATACACCTTATAATAATATACTAAAATTTCCAGCCCCAACGGGTCAACAATCTTGAGTGAGGTCCGACAGAAATTTATTTACTTAATAATTTCAATAAATTTCCACCTTGTGTAAACCAGAAATGACAATTGTCAAAATTGTCAATAAATTTCCAGAAACGCCTACAAAAGCGGTGAAGATAGGCATAATATATTGTAAAATAAAAAATATATTTGTTGAGGAAGCATTTTGAATACAAAAAATATTATTATAGAGGGTTTTATTGTCAAAATTTGTAGAGTTTGTGTCAGATAAGAGTGAAATTATGGAAGAATTATTTTCATTATTTTCGTTATTTATTAATGAAGTATTCATTATTTTTTTATTTCTTAAATTTGAAATAAACAAAGGTTAGGATATGAATTTGAGCTATTTTGGACATTTAAAAGCAGGACTTCAACTAGTTCGGGAGCCTGTCACAATGCACAGAATTTAATAAATAATGTTTTATTCGGTCTTGGGTATTCGTCTTAGGGTCTATTCATGGTCTTGAGTCAAGGATTGGTCTTGGACCAGCCTTAGATATTAAAATTTGCAAAGATATTCCTAATATCCGCAAAAATATTCCTAATAATTTCATTGTCCTTAATCAAACACTCTGAAATAAAAACGTCACTTTATGCAGTATTTTAAAAATATTAAACAAAAAATGAAAGGGATGGATAATAAAAAAACTTTTCAAAAATTACTTTTCGAAAGCTTAATAATTATTTTTCATAAATAATTAATTGTATTAACTAATAATAATAATTAATAACCAGGAAATTTTTCAAGTCTTAATGATCATTTATTAAATAATTTAATTTAGAAATAATAAAATGATATTTTCACGTTCTAGTTCTTACTAATATATTTAATTTGAAAAAAATTAAGAAGACGAAGACGAAAACAAAATTGTTTAAAAAAGTTTAATAATGATCAATCTACCAGTTCAATTTAATTATTTGATTAAATTAAAGTTTATTGAAAACAAAAAAAAAGTTTAATATTTTTTAGTGTAAATAGGACAGAATTTAATAGGTAATTAATTAAGAGAATTAAAAAAATATAAATTAGATGGGGAAAAATTTTTATAATTTAATTATTAATTAGTACAATTAAAATTATCCAAATCAACATTTCCATTAGTTCTTACCCATTCTTTATGGAAACGGGTCTGTGGCCAATTTTGGTATAATGAAGCATTTAATCTGTGCAATCCTTTATTTATTAATGTCCTCCTCCTCATTTCTTCATGCCAACAAAGAATGGCTCCAAAATCGAATTCCGGCATCATTTTATTGACAAATAAATATTTTGAGTTGTATAAATTGTGCCACTAAATTATTGAAAACTTGAAAAAATTTTCAAAAAAATTTTCTTTTAAATTTACCAAATCCTCTATTCCAAACACACAACTATAATGGCGAAAATTGTTACTATAACATTTGTCTTTGTGCTCAAATTCCCAAATGTTGTATCTTCAATGAGCAAAATTACTAATATTTTTAGCCCACCTTGGGACTGAGTTGAGAGTGTAATACGAAAATCGAGATCGATAGAACAAAAACGATTGATTCTCGAAACCGAGATTTATGTTCGAAATCTCAACTAGGCCCGATCTACCTTAGTGCTTTATGAGCATGATTGCTCTTCAACCCGTATTGAAATTGCAAGAGGTAGTAAGGCCGTATCGGTGACTGACGGTACATTATTTTGACTGAATTATTTTGTGATCAAGCCATTATACAAAAGACAACGGCTCAAAGCTTATTTGGATATAATGTCTATCAGAAGAAGCCGCTCTTGACATGTATCAAAACCGTGATTCATAAATATTTATTGTTTTACCTAGTCACATACGGCACATTAATTTTTTGATCAATGCATTTATGTGTAAAGGCATTTGGTGCCTTTAAATCGTCTGAAGCCAAAAGTGTTTGAATAAAAAATTCATCCCCCGCATATTCCCTTAAATTAAAATTTTTTTCGATTAAAAAATAATTTTCGAGACCAACTATCCAGCTGCTCAAGCATTTTGGTTAAATCGAGTTTATTAACTACAAACTCCACAAAAGGTCGTGCCAGACTTGCTTGAATGTTGCCACTTGCCAATGACAATTTAGAAGGTAATCCTTTCTCATTAAGGCGTTCGTTTAGTGATGCTTTTAATAAAATTGGTAAGGATTTAAAAATATTCGGGCCTAATTTTGTATACAACCTCACCCCCAGAATTAAGTACACATTAAGCCCTTTACAGCCCTTAAATTGTATAGTGGTCAGTGTCAGTCTAGCTAGTTCATACTAGTTCTTAGCTAGTCCTGATTTACCTAGTCACATACGGCTAACAATGTATATCTAAAATTAGGCCCGATTTAATCGTTTTTATTACCATCCTTGAAAATTTTTAGGGATTCAAACGTCCAATTAAAATTTTTATTGAGACCGTCTAATCTATCTCTTTTTGCTTCACTCTGAAAATCATATCCGGCATCACAAGCCCCATCAAGCCATTTAAATATTTGAACCATCTCCTCGTTAGTTTTTATTTGAATGTCGTGATTCTGTAATGTTACTAAATACTCCCATTTTCTTCCCTCTTTAACTAATTCTTTGAAACAGGATAGATGGGCCTTTCCCATACCGTGCCCTTGAAAAAATTTAATTTTTGAAAATTCCTTAAATTTTTTTTGAATTTCTAACCAGCACTATCTACAGAAAATCTTTCTTTTGGAACAATAACATTTGGGAAGCACCTAGCTAGTGACAGAATACTTTTATAAAAAATATCATCTGCCTTCGCATCAACAGCAAAACAATACCAATTTTGGGGATGATAATTAGTAGCTAATTCTGCCTCCAAAAACCGATAATCCTTAAAGTTTTTAAATTCATGTATATAGTAATCGAATTTAGCCTTCTTTATTTTTGTAACTTATACTATTAGAGTGAGCGGTATCGGTATACCGAGAAAAGAGTATTTTCGAATGATGCCGGTCGGGATCGGGGGGGGGGCAACAAAACCGGTATAATACCGCCCGATACCGGTCGGGATCTTGATACCACTCAATTCTACATTAGATCCCTATAAAATGTTAATTTGAAGATAAGTTTATAATTGAAACCCTACTCAAAAACTGCCTGGACATTTACTTAAGAAAAAACCAAGCTATGCAAATCTACGCCTCTGTAGACTAGAAGAAGGCGAATTTTACCATTTTAATATTTTGAGGATCAAAAGCGAGGAGGGGAACTAGAGGGGGTATGAAATTCAATTTTACTCACTTTATAAACAACTTTAGCATAAGCAATAGGAAATTGAAGTTCAGCCTCTGATAACGGAAATTTCAAAAAATAATTACGGTAATAAATATCTTCACAATCCATAGGTATAGTGTGCAACAAAACTATAAGCCACCTAAAATTTTTTAATTTCTTAAGGTTCTAATGAATGAAATTTTTTTAAATTTTAACCCAATATTTAAAATATAATTTCAAGCAAAAATTAAAAAAATTTTTAATTAAATATTTTTACAAAAAGTTTTTTCGAACTTTCTATGAAATGTTGGTGTAAAATAACTATAAGCCAGCCTGGTAAAATTTTATTTTTCATATTAGAAATGCCGAAAAATTTTGCAAAAATTTCTGTGGGTATTTCCATCGATATAGTGTGGAAAAGTAAAAAGAACTAACACTGTATATGTATCTACATCTTTATAAATCAATCTATTTTTTGCCTTATCTTTAATATATTTCATATCATTGTTAAAAACACGTTTACAGTCCAAAAATACATCACAATATGTCTAAACTCGGATAAAAATAATTTCAAAAAATTTAATTAGAAATCAACTTGTATTTGTTCATGTTTATACCAGTCGTATCTAATTGTCTTTTCATTTTCTAATTTAAAAATTTATTTTTTATGTTAATTTTTGAATTATTAATATGATTAATACCATCCTTAGGACAATAATATTTTTTATCATATGCTTTTGAATAATTAAATTTCGAGTTTAGAAAAATAATAAATATAATATACAATAAATATAACATTACTGAACTAAAAATAATAATATTTTCCGGAATTATGGAAACATGTAACATTAAAAACTCCGGAAGCAATCTGGAATCATTCTAAAATTCTGAAAACATTTTCAAAAACCCTAACACCTTCAAAAATAAAATTATGGGAACATTCCGGAAGTTTTTTAATATTACGGGAATATTCAAAAAGCATTCAAGTAGTTTTCCGGAACCATTCTAAAAAATCTAATATTCCGGAAAAATCCCAGAAACGTTTAATTTACGTTATAGAATACCGGAAAATATTTAATATATTCCGGAAATAAATACTATACAAATTCCAAGAATTCCGGAAACATTCTAAATGACCGGAAACATTTGATTAAAAAATAATAGCCAGAAAACATTCCGGAAACATTTTACAATTTTGGAACTCTTGCTTAAATAAATCATTCCGGAAAAGTATATTTGCGAAAATAGCTTTATTAAATTAGAATTTTCCGGAATTATTGCATTGATAAATATATTCAGAATACTTATGAATCTATCGATGTATTTATTTTTTTACTTAATTATTATTTGAATTAGGTAAATAAAATAAATTTTGATTAAATTTATATTTATAAATAATAATTTGGTTAATGTACACATTTTAAAAACATTTTTATGTTATTTTTTTAAATATATATTTAATACTGAATGGCGCCGGACGATTGGTAATGAATCATACTGCTTGTATATTTATGGATAAATTACATAAAAAATAAATAAAATTTAAATTAAATAAATTTTAGAAGCATTTCTGTTTAATTATTTAATTTAATGCGAAAATAGGCATAAATAATAATAATTTAAACTAAATAACATAGAATTCAATAGATAGTTTAATAAAAAATTAAAAAGTTTTTTTTTATTTTAATTATCAATTAGTACAATTAAAATTATCCAAATCAACATTTCCATTAGTTCTTACCCATTCTTTATGGAATCGGGTCTGTGGCCAATTTTGGTATAATGAAGCATTTAATCTGTGTAATCCTTTATTTATTAAAGTCCTCCTCCTCATTTCTTCATGCCAACAAAGAATGGCTCCAAAATCGAATTCCGGCATCATTTTATTGACAAATAAATATTTTGAATCGTTCAAATTTGGAACCTTTAATTTAATTAATTTTAATTTTTATAAGAAGAATCATGAACCAAGTCTTCTATGCCGAAAATGCAGACATAATGACGCAAAATTCCACTATAACATTCCGAAATTCCCCAATTAGCAAGCCTAAAAATGATATTATGTAAGATTGGGAATTATTTTGCGATGAGACGTTTTATTAAATTCGCCAACTCTGATGTTCAATAGTAAAAAAAATCTGATTTCCGAGTTCCGACTTTTGAGCCAGTTCCGATTTCCGACACCTCGGAATGTTCCGACCTACCTCTGAATGGAACGAACTTTACCAACTCAATTGTTTAATGAGAGATCGAGCAAAGATTTATTTAACAAATTTTACCTAGTAACATAATAATCATTCTGAGGCCACAATTTTTTATTGCCATACTCAATGCATTTATGCGTAAATGCATTAGGGGCTTGTAAATCATCTGAAGTCAAGAGTGTTTGTAGAAATAACTCATCACACCCATAGGGACTTAAATTTATTCTTAGATATTTAATTATATAATTAAATTATTTTCGGGACCAACTATCCAAGTGATCAAGCATTTTGGTTAAATTGAGTTCATTAACTATAAAATCAACAAAAGGACGTGCCAGACTAGCTTGAACAATTCCTTTAGTGTGGTTCAGTTTGAGAGGTGATTTATTAGAATCAAAGCGTTTGTTTAGTGATTCTATGCATATATAAATATTATATAAAATAAAGAAAATTTATTGGAATTATCCATAAGAACTAGGGTTGCGTTTTGGATTCTAGCGACGTTAAATTTTCCAAGTTTGAATTTTTTCGAGTTCTGTTTGAGCGAGCTGGCAACTCTAATATGGGCCATATAGGCAAGAATAATATCAGCTCATAGGAAGGCTGAGAACTAGATTAGATCTACCTTCCCTTTATTATCTAACCGTTTATTAATTTCTAAAGTATGATCTAAGCCATAATTGAATTTTTTGAAAGTTTGCTAGAAATTTTGAAGATATTTTTGCAAAATTATAAAACACAAAAAATCAACCGTTTTTAAAAACATGTAGTGATTCAAAAGTCCAATCAGATACTGTTAAAAGATGAGCTATTCGTGCGAGTTGGCCTGAACCGTTTACATCGAACTCGGCATCACAAGCCCCATCAAGCCATTTAAATATTTGAACCATTTCCTCGTTAGTTTTTATTTGAATGTCGTGATTCTGTAATGTTACTAAATATTCCCATTTTCTTCCCTCTTTAATTAATTCTTTAAAACAGGATAGATGGGCCTTTCCCATACCGTGACCTTGAAAAAAATTTTTTTTGAAATTATCTAACCAGAACTATCTACAGAAAATCTTTCCTGTGGAACAATAACATTTGTGAAGCACCCAGCTAATGACAGAATATTTTTATAAAAAATATCGTCTGCCTTCGAATCAACAGCAAAACAATACCAATTCTGGGGGTGATAATTAGTAGCTAATTCTGCCTCCAAAAACCGATAGTCCTTTAAATTATAACTAAATTTCCTTAAAATTTTCTTAGAAAACTTTATAAACAATTTTAGCATAAGCAATAGGAAATTGACGTTCAGCTTCTGATAACGGAAATTTCAAAAAATAATTACGGGAATAAATATCTTCACAATCCATAGGTATATCTACATCTTTATAAGTTAATCTATTTTTTGCTTTATCTTTAATATATTCTATATCATTGTTAAAAACACGTTTACAGTCCAAATATACATCACAATATGTCTAAATAGATAAAAACATTTCTTAAAAATTTAATTAGAAATCAACTTGTTCATGTTTATGCCAATCGTATCTAATTGTCGTTTCATTTTCTGATGTAAAAATTTTCTTTAATTTAATTATTAATATAATTAATACCATCCTTAGGACAATAATATTTTCTAATTAATTCTTCGGAATAATTAAATTTCAAAATTGAAAGAATAATAAAAATAATAGTCAATAAATATAACATCATTGAACACGAAGTATTGAATTTTCCGTAATAATTATTTGAATCAAAAAATATAAAAAATTCGGAAAAAACGAAAAAATATAAATTCTGAAACATTTTAATATATCAGAAACAGTCAGAAATTCCGGTAGCTTTCCGGAAATTTCAAAATATTTAAATATTAGGTCAATGTTTTCCTGATTAGTTCCGGAAATATTGAATTCACCTTGCAAAATACCGGAAACAATTAAAAATTCCGGAAACATTTCTATAATATTCCGGAAATATTCCGGAAGCATTCAATTCACATCCTTTTCCGGAAATATTTAATTCATACTTTTCCTGAAAAATTTAATCCACCTTCTAAAATACCGGAAACAATTAAAAATTCCGGAAATTTTCTATAAAATTCCAAGAATATTCCGGAAGCTTTTAATTTACATTCTTTTCCGGAAATGTTTAATTCACATACCTTTCAGGAATATTTATTCAAATACATTTCCGGAAATATTTCACATTCTAAAATACCGGAAACATAAATTCCGGAAACTTTTCTAAAATATTCCGTATACATTCTGGTACTCTTACTAATAATATTCATTCTCAAATACAATATTCCGGAAAATAGAGTCCCTTTTTAATAAAAATTTTTTTCGAATTATTCTAAAATAACATATTTTATAAAATATTTGAATTAGATAAAATAAATTATGTCCGAATATTACTATAAATTGATAATTTAATTAGTGAATTTTTCAAATTATTTTTATTCGAAAATAATTTTCAAATTATTAATATGTATTTTTAATGGACAATCTGTGCAGTAAGCAATGAATCATAATTTGGATTTAAGTAAATTTTTACACAAAAATACAAAAAATTAAAAAAAAAGTATGGGGAAAAATATAGGCTAATAAAATAGAAGAATAGTACAAAATAAATAAATTATTAAATAATTTAAATTAAATAGAAGCCTGGAGGAATTAAATAAAATTTTGGGCGAATGACAATTAAAATTATCCAAATCAACATTTCCATTAGTTCTTACCCATTCTTTATGGAAACGAGTTTGTGGCCAATTTTGGTATAATGAAGCATTTAATCTGTGTAATCCTTTATTTATTAAAGTCCTCCTCCTCATTTCTTCATGCCAACAAAGAATGGCTCCAAAATCATATTCTGGCATCATTTTATTGACAAATAAATATTTTGAATTATAAAAATTTGGAGCCTTTAATTTAAAAAGGCTTTAAATTTTGAAAGAAAATATCAGAACCAAGTCTTCTATTCCAAAAATGCAGTTATAATGACGTATAATTCCGCTATAACATTTTGAAGTTCCCGAATCACTAAACCTAAAAAGGGAAAATAGGTATATCTTTATAGCTTTCTCAGCTATAAACATCTATAATATTTTTGAAAAATAACCTTTACAAAGGAGATGCTGTGAGATGTCCGTGGGACTTAGGGATGAAATTTGGCAGACTGATAGATCATAACCTACTTCTAGCGAAATTTTCACCATTTTCGCTGCGGGGTACCAGGGACCGTGATATAAGCCCCTAAATTTTAGGTCCCACGGACACCTCACAGCCTCTCCTTTGTTAGTGTTAGTGCTGTCGCTTTCCTCCTTATCCCACTCTAATAACAAATTAAGTATACTAGTGACCTAGTTACATAAGGCACATCAATCTTATCATCAATACATTTATGGGTAAATGCATTTGGGGCATTTAACTGGTCTGATGTTATAAGTGTTTGTATAAAAAGCTCATCTGCTCCATAATCCCTGAATTTCCATTTTTTAACAAATTTAATTAAAAAATTGAGACCAAGAGTCTAGCTGAAAAAGCATCCTTTTCAAATTCAGTTTATTAACGAGAAAGTCAACAAATGGACGAGCTAAACTGGTTTGAACAGAGCCTTTAGCTAGTTGAAGTTTTAGTGGTTTTCCATTTTTATCTAGTTGTTTGTTAAGCGAGTCTGAATTGAAATTAACGAGTTATTAAAGTAAGGCTGAGCTTGTGTAGTATAATTGTTAACCCTGATTTTCTAGAGTTCGCTTCCCCTGTCCTTTTCCCTGACAGTTAATCTCCCCTGAAAATTTTTATAAATTTAAGCACCATTTTTAAATATATGGACACAATCGAACGTCCAATGAAATTTTCTCCTCAATCCTTGTATTCTTTCCCTCTGACCATAATATCGAAAATCTAATCCAAAATCACAAGCCCCATCAAGCCATTTATATATTTGAACCATTTCCTCGTTAGTTTTTATTTGAATGTCGTGATTCTGTAATGTTACTAAATATTCCCATTTTCTTCCCTCTTTAATTAATTCTTTAAAACAGGATAGATGGGCCTTTCCCATACCGTGACCTTGAAAAATTTTTTGAATATTTGTTTCTAAAATTTTATAACCGGCACTATCCACAGAAAATCTCTCCTTTGGAACAATCAAATTTGGGAAGCACCTAGCTAATGATAGAATATTTTTATAAAAAATATCATCTGCTTTCGAATCAACAGCAAAACAATACCAATTTTGGGGATGATAATTAGTAGCTAATTCTGCCTCCAAAAACGAATAATCCTTTAAATTACAATTAAATTTTCTTAAAATTCTATCATAAAACTTTATAAACAACTTTAGCATAGGCAATAGGAAATTGAAGTTCAGCCTCTGATAACGGAAATTTCAAAAAATAATTTCTAGAATAAATATCTTCACAATTCATAGGTATATCTATATCTTTATAAATTAATCTATTTTTTGCCTTATCTTTAATATATTCTATATCATTGTTAAAAATACGTTTACAGTCCAATTTTTCCTCAAAATTATTTTTATAATTATTTTGTGGCCTAAATCTATTTTAATCACCTCCATAATCTGACTGCCAAGTTTATCCAACTTTTCTTTAAAAAATATTTTTATTATTAACTAACATAAATACAGTAGTGAACACAACTACATATAAAGACCCTACCTTAGAATAATATTATAAAATCTCAAAAAGATATACATCAAAGTTATAGTCCATCTTAGAGAGGATAAATTTGGCTACAAAAAGTGCCCAAAATTAATTCATAGAAAATTTTTTAGAAATTTTATTATGGTTTAACCAAAACGAGATAAAGAGCCTTTTTAGTCTTCCACTACTGTATGTATCTTTCATTAATTTACCCTCAGAATGAAATTTTTCGCCTCCGGCAAATCCACTCAATTTGATAATTAAATGAACTAATAATATAAATAATAAGCCCATACAAATTTAATTTAGCAAAAATTATTTTAATAAATATTTATGTAAATTTTCTTTATTAAAGAGTAAAAGTTTAGTGTCTACATATACTTATTATTTTATAAATTTTTAGATGAAAGCCAATTTGTTCTTTTTTTCATAAATTTATGAATCATTGGGTGGCGATGAAAAGCATTTTTTATACGTAATGCTATATCTGGTCCATACTTTACAACTGACCTACAAATTAATTTCCAACGTCATATTATTGTAAAGACCATTTTGGGGAACTGCTAAACATGACCAAATTAAAATTTGAACGTACTTAAGTTTTGTAAATTCTCGAGTTAAATGTCCATTAATTTCGTTTAAATTCGGTCAGTTGAGTACAAATTTTTAGGTGGTTCAACCAAATTTTCAAAAACTTTATAGAAACATGAAACTAATTGTATATTCTATCAAGGATTGGCAATCCTTGTTCAAATATATCCATGATTTTCCATGGTTCCTACTTTTTAAAAATTTCGTTTAAATTCGGTCAGTTGAGTACAAGTTTTTAGGTGGTTCAACCAAATTTTCAAAAACTTTATAGAAACATGAAACTAATTATATATTCTATGAAGAACTGGCAGTTCTTCATCAAATATATCCATGATTTTCCATGGTTCCTACTTTTTAAAAATTTCGTTTAAATTCGGTCAGTTGAGTACAAGTTTTTAGGTGGTTCAACCAAATTTTCAAAAACTTTATAGAAACATGAAACTAATTGTATATTCTATCAAGGATTGGCAATCCTTGTTCAAATATATCCATGATTTTCCATGGTTCCTACTTTTTAAAAATTTCGTTTAAATTCGGTCAGTTGTGTACAAGTTTTTAGGTGGTTCAACCAAATTTTCAAAAACTTTATAGAAACATGAAACTAATTGTATATTCTATCAAGGATTGGCAATCCTTGTTCAAATATATCCATGATTTTCCATGGTTCCTACTTTTTAAAAATTTCGTTTAAATTCGGTCAGTTGAGTACAAGTTTTTAGGTGGTTCAACCAAATTTTCAAAAACTTTATAGAAACATGAAACTAATTATATATTCTATGAAGAACTGGCAGTTCTTCATCAAATATATCCATGATTTTCCATGGTTCCTACTTTTTAAAAATTTCGTTTAAATTCGGTCAGTTGAGTACAAGTTTTTAGGTGGTTCAACCAAATTTTCAAAAACTTTATAGAAACATGAAACTAATTGTATATTCTATCAAGGATTGGCAATCCTTGTTCAAATATATCCATGATTTTCCATGGTTCCTACTTTTTAAAAATTTCGTTTAAATTCGGTCAGTTGATTACAAGTTTTTAGGTGGTTCAACCAAATTTTCAAAAACTTTATAGAAACATGAAACTAATTATATATTCTATGAAGAACTGGCAGTTCTTCATCAAATATATCCATGATTTTCCATGGTTCCTACTTTTTAAAAATTTCGTTTAAATTCGGTCAGTTGAGTACAAGTTTTTAGGTGGTTCAACCAAATTTTCAAAAACTTTATAGAAACATGAAACTAATTGTATATTCTATCAAGGATTGGCAATCCTTGTTCAAATATATCCATGATTTTCCATGGTTCCTACTTTTTAAAAATTTCGTTTAAATTCGGTCAGTTGTGTACAAGTTTTTAGGTGGTTCAACCAAATTTTCAAAAACTTTATAGAAACATGAAACTAATTGTATATTCTATCAAGGATTGGCAATCCTTGTTCAAATATATCCATGATTTTCCATGGTTCCTACTTTTTAAAAATTTCGTTTAAATTCGGTCAGTTGAGTACAAGTTTTTAGGTGGTTCAACCAAATTTTCAAAAACTTTATAGAAACATGAAACTAATTATATATTCTATGAAGAACTGGCAGTTCTTCATCAAATATATCCATGATTTTCCATGGTTCCTACTTTTTAAAAATTTCGTTTAAATTCGGTCAGTTGAGTACAAGTTTTTAGGTGGTTCAACCAAATTTTCAAAAACTTTATAGAAACATGAAACTAATTGTATATTCTATCAAGGATTGGCAATCCTTGTTCAAATATATCCATGATTTTCCATGGTTCCTACTTTTTAAAAATTTCGTTTAAATTCGGTCAGTTGAGTACAAGTTTTTAGGTGGTTCAACCAAATTTTCAAAAACTTTATAGAAACATGAAACTAATTATATATTCTATGAAGAACTGGCAGTTCTTCATCAAATATATCCATGATTTTCCATGGTTCCTACTTTTTAAAAATTTCGTTTAAATTCGGTCAGTTGAGTACAAGTTTTTAGGTGGTTCAACCAAATTTTCAAAAACTTTATAGAAACATGAAACTAATTGTATATTCTATGAAGAACTGGCAGTTCTTCATCAAATATATCCATGATTTTCCATGGTTCCAACTTTTTAAAAATTTCGTTCAAATTCGGTCAGCTGAGTACAAGTTTTTAGGTGGTTCAACCAAATTTTCAAAAACTTTATAGAAACATGAAACTAATTGTATATTCTATGAAGAACTGGCAGTTCTTCATCAAATATATCCATGATTTCCCATGGTTCCAACTTTTTAAAAATTTCGATTAAATTCGGTCAGTTGAGTACAAGTTTTTAGGTGGTTCAACCAAATTTTCAAAAACTTTATAGAAACATGAAACTAATTGTATATTCTATGAAGAACTGGCAGTTCTTCATCAAATATATCCATGATTTTCCATGGTTCCAACTTTTTAAAAATTTCGTTCAAATTCGGTCAGTTGAGTACAAGTTTTTAGGTGGTTCAACCAAATTTTCAAAAACTTTATAGAAACATGAAACTAATTGTATATTCTATGAAGAACTGGCAGTTCTTCATCAAATATATCCATGATTTTCCATGGTTCCAACTTTTTAAAAATTTCGTTCAAATTCGGTCAGTTGAGTACAAGTTTTTAGGTGGTTCAACCAAATTTTCAAAAACTTTATAGAAACATGAAACTAATTGTATATTCTATGAAGAACTGGCAGTTCTTCATCAAATATATCCATGATTTTACATGGTTCCAACTTTTTAAAAATTTCGTTCAAATTCGGTCAGTTGAGTACAAGTTTTTAGGTGGTTCAACCAAATTTTCAAAAACTTTATAGAAACATGAAACTAATTGTATATTCTATGAAGAACTGGCAGTTCTTCATCAAATATATCCATGATTTTCCATGGTTCCAACTTTTTAAAAATTTCGTTCAAATTCGGTCAGTTGAGTACAAGTTTTTAGGTGGTTCAACCAAATTTTCAAAAACTTTATAGAAACATGAAACTAATTGTATATTCTATGAAGAACTGGCAGTTCTTCATCAAATATATCCATGATTTTCCATGGTTCCAACTTTTTAAAAATTTCGTTCAAATTCGGTCAGTTGAGTACAAGTTTTTAGGTGGTTCAACCAAATTTTCAAAAACTTTATAGAAACATGAAACTAATTGTATATTCTATGAAGAACTGGCAGTTCTTCATCAAATATATCCATGATTTTCCATGGTTCCAACTTTTTAAAAATTTCGTTCAAATTCGGTCAGCTGAGTACAAGTTTTTAGGTGGTTCAACCAAATTTTCAAAAACTTTATAGAAACATGAAACTAATTGTATATTCTATGAAGAACTGGCAGTTCTTCATCAAATATATCCATGATTTCCCATGGTTCCAACTTTTTAAAAATTTCGTTCAAATTCGGTCAGTTGAGTACAAGTTTTTAGGTGGTTCAACCAAATTTTCAAAAACTTTATAGAAACATGAAACTAATTGTATATTCTATGAAGAACTGGCAGTTCTTCATCAAATATATCCATGATTTCCCATGGTTCCAACTTTTTAAAAATTTCGTTCAAATTCGGTCAGTTGAGTACAAGTTTTTAGGTGGTTCAACCAAATTTTCAAAAACTTTATAGAAACATGAAACTAATTGTATATTCTATGAAGAACTGGCAGTTCTTCATCAAATATATCCATGATTTCCCATGGTTCCAACTTTTTAAAAATTTCGTTCAAATTCGGTCAGCTGAGTACAAGTTTTTAGGTGGTTCAACCAAATTTTCAAAAACTTTATAGAAACATGAAACTAATTGTATATTCTATGAAGAACTGGCAGTTCTTCATCAAATATATCCATGATTTTCCATGGTTCCAACTTTTTAAAAATTTCGTTCAAATTCGGTCAGCTGAGTACAAGTTTTTAGGTGGTTCAACCAAATTTTCAAAAACTTTATAGAAACATGAAACTAATTGTATATTCTATGAAGAACTGGCAGTTCTTCATCAAATATATCCATGATTTTCCATGGTTCCAACTTTTTAAAAATTTCGTTCAAATTCGGTCAGCTGAGTACAAGTTTTTAGGTGGTTCAACCAAATTTTCAAAAACTTTATAGAAACATGAAACTAATTGTATATTCTATGAAGAACTGGCAGTTCTTCATCAAATATATCCAT